GGGATATAGCCCTAGAAGTGCTATTGCTGGATCAAAGGGTATGCACATTTTATAGCCCTTTGGGCATAGTTCCAAATTGTTCTCCAAAATGGTTGGATCATTTCACAACTCCACCAACAATGCATTAGTGTTCCAATTTTCCCAATCTTCTTCAGCATTTATCATTTTCCTATTTTGTCATGTTCCAATCTGATAGTGTGATGTGTACCTCAGAGTTGTTTTGATTTGCATTTCTCTAATCAATAGTGATTTAGAGCATTTTTTTCATGACTATAGATGGCTTTAATTTCTTCATCTGAGAACTGTCTGTTCATATCCTTTGACCATTTATCAATTGGGGAATGGCTTGTATTCTTATAAATTTGACTTAATTCTCTATATATTTTAGAAATGAGGCCCTTATCAGAAAGACTGGTTGTAAAAATTCTTTCCCAATTTTCTACCTTCCTTCTAATCTTAGTTGCATTGGCTTTGTTTGTGCAAAAACTTTTCAATTTAATATAATGAAAATTATCATTTTCCTTTGCGTAATGTTCTCTATCTCTTGTTTGGTCATGAATTTTCCTGTTCTCCATAGATCTGACAGGTAAACTATCCCTTGCTCTCCCAGTTTGCTTATAGTATCAGCCTTTATATCTAAATCATAAACCCATTTTGACTTTATTTTGGTATATGGTATGAGATTTTGGTCAATGCTTAGTTTCTGCCATACTCTTTACCAGTTTTCCCAGCAGTTTTTTTTTTCAAAGAGTAAGTTCTTATCCCAGAAGCTGGGGTCTTTGGGTTTATCAAATAATAGATTATTATAGGCATTGACTACTGTGTCTTGCATATTTAACCTATTCCACTGATCCACCCTCTATTTCTTAGCCAGTATCAAGCGGTTTTGATGATTGCTGCTTTATAATACAATTTAAGATCTGGAATTGCTAGGCTACCTTCCCCTGCATTTCTTTTCATTAGGAAACTAAGAATTCTAAGAGGTGTTTTTTAATTATGAGGGACAGTCCATTTAAAGGGAGAGAGATCGGAGATAGGATGTTGAGTTGGTCAGTTTGACTCAAAAGTAGAGTATGTGTAGGGGAAATACCAGAAGAATGATTATTAAATTTTCAGAAAACCAATGGAGTATGTTGAAGTCCCTCATCTTAAGATCTTTTCAAGACTTATTTCTATACTCCATAGACCAACCAAATCATCATTTTGTGTATATTCTGCATACATAACAAGCCATCTCGAGTTTCCATTACTTTGACTGGCCATCCATTATTGCTAGAATGCTCTTTCAATGCAACTCCACCTTATAGAATTCTTTTCTTCCTTCAGGACTTAATTCAAGCACCATCTTCTACGTCAAGCCTTTCCTGATTCCCCTCCCCCCAGCTTCTAATGCCCTTCTTCCCTAAACTGCCCTGTCTTTATTTTATATACACTTACATGCATGTATGTGTTACACATACATGTGCATATTGCATACACATGCACATACATGTCTCCCCTAATAATGTAAGCTCTTTGAGAGCAGGGATGGTTGTATTTTTATTTTTCTATATCCAGTGCCTAATACTGCCTAGCATATAATGAGTGCTTAATAAGTGTTTTTGGTTTGCATTTTCACAAAAAGAAAGAAGTTAAATTTACAAGCTAGAAGTTGGCGAATTTGATTTCAATTCTTGGCAAAATTCTAACATTTTATTAAAGAGGTGGTTGCTGAGAACCCAGAAAGGCAAGCAGCGATTACTACCAACCAGCATGGATTCATTAGAAGAGCTAGAGTAGTTTTCTCTTTATGACAGGTTTACTAGACTGTTCATCCACAGTCCTATTCTAATGTTTCATTGTGGTGTGGAAGTGACATTGGGTTCTTAATGGTTAAGCCAGCAGATTGAAAGCTTTGATAAGTTTTGCCCTGTTGGAAGGGTTTTGAGAATAATCCCTGTAATACTTATCCTTTGTTCTCAAAGCGGACCAATGATATCAAGTGATACAAGGTGATACCTTGTATTAACCTGGAGAGGCTTGGCCACCAATAGGCTGTCATTTAGGTCATGAAGTAACAAAATGGCACGATGGATAGAGCAGTGGGCCTGGAGTCAGAAAGATCTGAATTCAGATTTGGCCTCAGACACTTAATAGCTATGTGACCTTGGACAAGTCACTTAACCTCTGCCTCAGTTTTCTCAAACATAAAATGGGGATAATAATAGTGCCTACTTCGTAAGGTTGTTGTGAGAATCAAATGAGATAATTCGTAAAGTTATTAGCACATTACATGGAAATGTAATAGGTACTATATAAATGCTTATTCCATTCTTCTTTATTTATTCTTTTGCTATAGCAACTCCAACACTTGCTTTGGAAAGCCATGTCTGTTTTATTGAATTAGATTCAGTAGGCCAACTGTCTTCTTGTCCACTTGCTAATAGATTTTTAATGTTGGCTACCTGAAAGGGATGGGGTTTAATTGAACCCTTAACCCCTTTCCTGGAGCAGTATTCTTAAATACTGTCCTCTCTTACTGATAACAGATGGTAGACAATGCAGGAGGAATGCTCATAAGGGATGGTGAAGAATGCTGACATAGAATTTAAAAGGAATGGAATGTTGGTAACAAACTGCAGCATATGAAGCCTTCCTGGATTTCTCTTTCTAACTATCTGGGACCATCTGTGCTGAGGGCTGTCAACCTGAATTTCTATTTGAGGAAAGAACTGGAAAAAAAAAAGCTAGGGCTCCAATCTAGATAAATATAGATGGAGAGGGAGGAGAGTTCATATCTCCTTTAAGAAGGCGATATGAAAAAAAAATTGTAAATATCTTGAATATTTGAATGGTGTGAATAGGGTGAGCTTAAGCCCTTCACAAAATCCTGAACACCCAGACTAGGGAATATCTTCTTAACAGCTGAAAAAGACAGTTTTAAGACAGATAAAATAAAGTATGACTAAAATTTTATTAGTAAATTCATGCACCACATTATTTCAGGAGACAATAAACTGAAAATATAAATATTTTAATACTTTAAAAACCTGAGATTTTTCTAATGTGCTTAAAAATTCACCACCTGTTGCACAACCTAATGATGAACTCTGAAATTAGAACAGTCTTCAAAATACAGACATAGTACATCAGTGGATTCATACTCAAAACCTTTCTAAATTTGAATTGGTGTGCACCTTTCCAAGGTGTGGTATGTGTATATGTATATGTATATGTATATGTATACACACAGATGTTGTTGTTGTTCAGTAGTTTCAGTCATGTTCTACTCTTTGTGACCCCCATTTGAGGTTTTCTTGGCAAAGATCCTAGAGTGGTTTGCCATTTCCTTTTCCAGCTCGTTTTACATAAGAGGAAACTGAGGCAAACAAGGTTGAGTGACTTTGCCAGAGTCACACAGCTAGCAAGTGTCTGAGACCCAATTTGAACTCAGGTCTTCCTGTCTCTAGGCAAGGAGATATATCTCAAACCGAAGGAGAAAGCATGGTGGAGAAAACTTGGTAAAGCACCTGAGCAGGTGGAAAATGTAAATAATACTTTCTAAATCACAAAACTGGTGAGTTTAAATTCTCAGAAACCTGTTAAAGCTTAATTAAAAGCTTATCTGCACTGAGGGCTGTCAACCTGAATTTCTATTTGAGGAAAGACAGATAAAATAAAATATGACTAAAATTTTATTAGTAAATTCGTGCACTACATTATTTCAGGAGACAATAAACTGAAAAGCCTATCTGACAAATTAATGATACCATACAGAAAATATATGATGGTAAAGGAGGTAAGTGATAGGACAAATTTCTATTCCAAACTTAATACTGATTATCATGGGGAAATTGATTATTGAAGTGGGAATAATAGAAACCTTCAGCAAAATCTTGGTGTTCTTAATAGACAAGTTTGAGAATCCTGAATGAATATAGTCAGGAATATGTGTTAGATTTGAGGTAAGCAAATAAAAAAAACAGAGAAAAGCTAGTATGATTTCATAATCTAAAAGGGAAGCTGTCTCAAGAGGGATGATACCATTGATGTGGTCAATAAAAAAAATCAACAATCATTTAGGAAGTGTCTATTACGTACTAATCACTGTGCTAGGTACTGGGAATACAAAGACAATAGTGAGGCAGCTCCTTCCCTTAAAAAGAATATATTTGTTTGGGAGAGACAATATGTACACATGTAATCATGAATGATTCCATTTAGAATGAAAAGGGATGGGCATTCAAAGATATTAATAGGATAGGGATCTCTTAAATTGGATTTTAAAATGGACATGTACAAAAAATAGAATCACGAACGAATTAAGGAAGAACACAAAATGTGGCAAAGAACATTTTACCCCCATGGATTCAAGATTTTCAATTCTGCCAATTATTTTTGCTACACAAGCCAGAAATTCTCCTTTCACAGTTCTCATTTCTCCTTCAAAGCATTTAGAAATATCCTGATGTTATTACAATGGTTCTTGGGAATGCACAGGGTCCTCTGTTTTATCAGTTGTTGATTCATTTTCCTTCTCTCAATATTTATTCATAGAATAAATTAGCTGATCTGGAGGCCATATTTTCTTCTGTTATTAATATCATCCTGGTTGGTTTATCTGCTTATGATCAATGTCTTTAACTGAGTTTTCTTTCTCCTGAGGTCTTTTGTAATTTCAGTCTTTTTTTCCCCTCACATATATTGTCCTATTACTCACTTTCTGATTCCTTCCCCTTCGATGGTGGGTTTCCTAGGGGATGGACCTCAAAGCCACCTCAACCTCCCCCCATGTCACTCCAACATCTCCTCCTCCTCCTCCTCCTTCTTCTTCTTCTCCTTCTTCTTCTTCTTCTTCTCCTTCTTCTTCTTCTTCTTCTCCTTCTTCTTCTTCTCCTTCTTCTTCTTCTTCTTCTTTTCTTCTTCTTCTTCTCCTTCTTCTCCTTCTTCTTCTTCTTCTTCTTCTTCTTCTTCTTCTTCTTCTTCTTCTTCTTCTTCTTCTTCTTCTTCTCCTTCTTCTTCTTGGAATGCAGTTGTTTTATCAACCAAGACAAGGCTTTTGGCTTTCCATGGCACCAGGTGAAGGGGTTGGTAAAGCTGAGTTCTGTTTTTAGCTTGTACAGCCTTGCCCTGGTTTGGTGGCTGTTTGGGGAAGAGAGGGTGCTGAGTGAGTATGAGCGGTTGGATTACCTTTTCTGCTATTAATTAGTTTATAGAATTTTTATCTTATTTGGGCTTTTAGTGTCCTGGCTTGTGGAGGCAGCTGAAATTGCTTTCTTTCTTGTATGTGATTTTTATTTTGGAGATGTTTGAAAGATAATGTGGATTGGGGAAAATGTCTGGACTTCCATCTTACTGGCCATGTGACCTGGAAGCCCTGGTAAGTCCCTTAATCTCTCATAGCCTCAGTTTCCTTATCTGTAAAAATGGAGATAATAATAGCACCTTCCTCACGGGGTTATTGTGAGGATCAATTGAGGCACATAGGTAAAGTGCTTTATGAACCTTATGGTGCTACATAAATTCTAGCTATTGGGATTATTGTTAGAAAAGTAAAAAAGCTTTATTGATGTCTTCCCTCGTATATTGAAATGTTTACATTTGTTGATGATTATGTTCATAATAAAATTTTTTAAAGGAAAAGAAAACAATGATTACTTGGATATAACATGGATCTACTAAGACTAAGTCATGCGAAACTGGACTCTTTTCTCTTTATTAATGAAGTTACTAGACAAAGGAATCAGGAGAATTGTATAGACACAGTACATCTGGACTTGCATTCTTCAGATTACAATTGTCAAGTCAAATGGTTAGTATTTGTGTAAAAACAGCCTTTGATGACAATTTCATACCTCAAAAAAATGTAACTGTGGCCAGATGGTCTAACATATTTAGTTAATTCAATTTGCATAAAGGGGAGGAGAAATCTTAATAATTCATCTGTAGCAAGTCCCCTCACATAATAAAGCAAAGTAGAGAAACTGCAGAGAGTCCAACAGACTTTGATATACAGCATGCTATAGTTAGGTAATATGGTGTATTGGATAGAATTCTGGATAAAGAATAAAGAAGACCTGGATTCAAATACTGCCTCTGACACATTAGCTATGATTTCTTCATCTGTATAAAGTAGAACATATAAGATTTTTTGTGCTTGAGGATTAAGTGAAAGAATATATTTTGCAAATTTTAAAGAGCTATATAAGTGTTATTTATATATTAGAAGTAAACATTGCATTTTGATTTAATCCTTAATAAAAAGAGATGACAAAATATTTTTTACTTTATTGAAGAAACAATAGAACACTGAGAGGTAGTATGGAGGAGCAGAAAGAGAGCCAGCCTTGACATCAGAACAGGTTGGGTTCAAGTCCTCCTCACATATATTGACTGTGGGACCCTGAACAAATCTCTTAAGCTCTTAGTGCCCCTGACAATTCTCTAATCATATAAAATGCCCAAAGATGGCTGAAGGCCACTGAGAGAGGCTTTCTTCACTGGGAGGTCCTTACATGTTGAGATCATGGGTCTGGACTCCATCCAAAAAAAGGAAACCAGGAAAAAATTCCTTGAATGTAATGATCGGAAGGGCAGGGATCATGGTTTACTTGCCTGTTGCATTCCCCAAGGCAATTAGCACAAAGTAGGTACACAGTGATGGTATGTGGTTGATTGTTCTGAGGCATTAGTTAGTGTCTGTACCTCATCTTTTCTGGAAGGATAGTTGAAATGAAGCTATAGGAGTCCCTGCAGATTCCCCTCCAAATGACAATTATTCCTTCCACATGGTGGAGTGTTTAGAGGCATGGCACCCCCATAATCTGGAAAATCCAGGTAAAAGTTTTTGGCCTTCTCTTCATATTAGAGAAGTCTGAATTATTTTATGGAAGTATAAGATAAAATATATTGATATTATATAATACTATACATATATTTTATACATTTCTGAGTTTCTAAACTTTTTCTGTATTGTCTGCTGACTTTCATGTGTCATCTATGGCTGCCAAAAAACTCCCCCAAAACTCCCATTTAATTTCTTATGCCGACCTGCAATAAATCAAAATTGCATTGGTGAAAGTTGAGATGTGGAAGGGATAACTGTACATAATTTTGTGTTTCTGGATGTTTCCCTGATTCCTTCTCTCAGATCCTTCAAAAAAAAGGTACAGATGTTAGGGAGGCACTCTATTAAATTGGCTCTATGATGGTTTATCCTGTCTACATTCCCATTTGAGAGACTAGGGAAAGGCAGTTGTTACATTCCCCTGCTCTTCTCCCAAGCGACAAAAACAAAACCAAAAAGTAACAGAATATTTTCATTATAGGGTCAGTCTACCACAAGAGGTAGTAATTATTTTTAGATTATGAGAGAAAACTGTTAGTGGTTATTGCCATCAGATTGTGAGCTCTCTGAGGGCAGGGATGGTTGTTTGCTTTTCTTTGTATCCCCAGTGCTTTGCACTGTGCCTGGCACAGGGTAGGTGTTTAATTGACTTAACTTGATTTGACTCACTCTTTCACTTTTGCAGTCTAGGTTTAAGATCTGAATTCCTTTCTCTGTTAGAGTGGCTTTTGAGCCAAGGATGGAAATCATGTTTATGGAATGATTTTGAAAAGTGTGTGTATGAGCATTCTCATGAAGCTCCCAAACTTGCATGTTTCATTTATGGTCTTGTTTCATATTGCCAAAGAACTCAGCTAACCCACAAACTCCAAAAAAGTTCAAAAGAGCAGAGGGTAACTAAAGATAGAGCCCAAATATTGTTAGCAAACTCAAGCCAGAATACCAATGGCAGGACCCCAGATGAAGTTTATACATTACAATCTATTCTCTCATTCGGTAAAGCCTGTGGAAGGGTTCTTCCATGTGGAGAATCTCTTTAAATGAAGGCTGGGAGCAATCATTTTTTTTTCCAAAAAATTTTTCCTTGCTAACTAACCTGTCTGACTTGCTGAACCCACGCTGGGGTTCCCATTGAAGAAGCCAGTCCTATACTTGAGATGCTCCAACATTTGCCAGTTAGCACACAGAGGAGAGGACAGGCTGCTAAAAAAATTCAGCAGAAAATACAGAACAGAAAAGAGAAAGAAAAACAAAGTCCTTGGCATTCCATCCGCTCCCAGACTCACCTGGCACTATCTGCCTTCAGGATGTTATAGACCCCAGCTTGGACAGCTTCCTCACTTAACATCCCAACTTGAAATCCTTCTTGTATTACCGCTCATTTGATCTTTGAAAAGAAAAGCAATTGCTCATTTCATTTCCTGCCTCTTACTGATTTGTTTTTTAGACAAAGAAACTCACTCTGCCCTTTTGACCATAGGTGAAAAAGCACAAGTGTGACAGAAAATGACTTTTCAAACAGAATTGATTAAATCTCTTTATCTCCACAGGACGAAAATGATCTTTTAAAAGCAAAAATCTGAAATTTTATATCTGCAGGTTTTTAATTCTCCCTTTCCATTTGCTCAGTTCAATGCAACATTTGTTCACATTATTACAGTATCTTTCATGCTGAATATCTTTTTAAAAAAATCCCTATAAGAATGGAGATAACGACCTAGTAGGCTATAGATTTTTAGAGATCTTATTTAAAGTGCTGAAAAGCTATTTGGAATTAAACTGCTCTGCTAATGTGAAGAGTGTCTTTGCTGACTTTTGCTTAACCTTTCTTTCATTTCTGAGCTCACTTTTCATAAACAAAATGTTTTTTATGATTGAATACTCCTCCTTGAAAAACCAAACTTACTTATAATAATCAAAGAAACTTAATTTTGCCAGCTATTGTCTAGGTATGGTTTTTTTAAACAATTTCTTTTGTCTTTTTTTTTTTTTGGTTAGGCAATGTGGTTAAGTGACTTGTCCAGGGTCATACAGCTAGTAAGTGTTATGTGTCTGAGGCCTCATTTGAGCTCAGGTCCTCCTGAATCCAGGGCCAGTGCTCTATCCACTGCACCATCTAGCTGCCTCTGACAATTTCTTAATTTTAGGTAACTATACATGAGAGGAACGGCTGAGGACAATGTGGCTTCATTGGTAAGTATGTTCAGTTTTGAGTCAGAGGACCTGGGTTCAAATTCTTCCTCTGTCTCTCACTAATTGAATGATTTTAAACAAATCCTTTAAAATCCTTGGGTCTCAGTTGCCTCATCTGTGAAATGGGGGGCTGAACTTTAACTATCCCTTCCATCTCTAAAACCTTGATTATGTAAAACAACTGAGTAAATAGGAAGTATCAGTAGAATTTTTGTCCCTTCTGACTCTAAAATCTTGATTACAGAAAACAACTGAATAAATGGGAAAATCAGTTGATTTTTATTTTTGGTCTCTTTTAGGTCTAAAACTGCTTATAAAAAAACTAAATAAATGGGAAAATTAGTAGATTGTCTCTTCTAACTCTAAAACTCTGATTATGAAAACAACTGAATAAATGGGAAAATCAGTAGATTGTTTGTATTTTCTAGCTTTAAAATTGATTTTGAAAACAAATGAATAAATGGGAAAATCAGTTTAAAAAGCCAAGGATAAATGCCTTGCTTTTTAGTGAATACCATTAAAACTATAACGCAGAAACATGTAAAGGGAGAGCAAATTAATCCATTGCTTTGATTACAAGTCATTGCAATTTCACAGACTCTAATTATATGTCATGAAATACAGCTCCCACAAAGTATGCTGGTAAAGATAACCCTATAGATTATACCATAGATTAGTTTATTTAAAACCAGGGGTGTGTTCCAACTTGCTTGTTGTCAATGTAGCATACAATGCACGGAGAAATGCCAAAAACGCCAGCATTTCTTGTAGAAATGGCTGTCCGCCCCCTACTCAGAAAACTAATTCATGCCTACAGCTTTCCCAATTACTATTCTGTTCCCGAGTTTCCTTCTCAGGCAAAGCTGACTAAGAAGATGGTAGTGGGCCAAGCTTGGCAACACCTGGAGGCCAGCAACACCTGGAGACCCTTTTCAGTGAGGCTGAAGAATGGAAAGGGGGAGCAGCAAACATGTTGGGTATTCTAGAAGACCACACAGGGATACTGATCAAACTGGATTCTCCACCTGCCTTTAATACTACCAGCTATGAACTATTGGCAGTCTGTCTCTGACACCTGGAAGGGTAAGGAAAGCATACTTACTATGGTCCCAAAACAGCATGATTTTTCTACTGTGTAAAGGCAGAAACCATCTCTAAGGTCCCATCCTGATGCCTCAGGGTTGGTGTGGTGAAGCCCCGGAACTCTCAAAGTCTATACCAGCAAAATGAATACTCCAGTGTTTGGATCTATTAAACCAGGAAGACTTTGGGGACAAAGAAGGACTCCTTTTTTAGTTCAAGAAATAGCCTAAATTCATAGCGGTTAATCACTAGAAGATCAGCCACTAGGAGAAGCCTTTCCCCCCCCCCCATAATGACTTATTAAGCCACTTATTTGGGCACTGCATAGATACAATTTGCATCCATGAAGGGATGAAATCATAGTTTATTTGTTTTTCGAAATATTGGAATAAAAGACTAGTTCAGGGCAGCCTCCAATTAGGAACGACAAGGAAGGTTTGAAAGAGAGAAAAGGATATAGAAGGAGTATGTAATGAAAGTAGAAAGAGATAAAAGAACGTAGGAACCTCATGCCTTGGTCATTGTATATTTATTTTTGGGGACAAGAAAAAGGCCAGCAGAAGAAAGAGAAGTTGTAAAATATCTGATGTATCACAGATTCATAGATCTGGAGCTGGAAGAGGACTTTGCCATCGTTTTGCTTGAAGCTCTCATTTTGAGAAAACGGGCCCAGAGAGGTGAAGTAGCTCCGCCAGGGTCACACAGGATTTCCCTCTGACTCCAGGTTTAGTCCTGTTGCCATGTTATGTACCATGCTGTCAATGGGAAGAATTACAGGATCTTAGAGGTCATGTAGATAACATGGGAAATTTAGCTTGCACTGCTAAATAGACTAACCTCTTATACATCAGCTGAGTAGGTTGTGTCCTAGGGTAGAAACTCCAAAGGTGAAGGGATTAATTTCCTCAGAGGCTGGGCCATGGATCTTGGAGGTCAAGAGGCTGAGGTCCAGATCTCTTATGGAGGGAGGAGGTGGGTTCTTTTTCCATCAGGTCAGCAAGAAGGTAGGGGTAAGCAGGTGGTAAGATGATTGAGGTGGATGGATGGATAGATGGGATATGAAGATAAGCTACCCAGGAAATCTTCCTTCTCTTGGTGGTAAGATGAATTCCAGGAACTTGCTACCCTGCAGTTTCCCTCTTCTTCATCCAGGAGGCTGAGTTCAGGCATTCTCAAACTTCTTTGGAAGTTTAAGGTTCAGGAACTCCCATCTTTGGAATCTCGTTTTCTTTGTCTGTGGCTGCTTGTGATCGACAACACGTCAATCTGCCATTGGTTATACAGGCCCATGTCCAAGTACCCCAAATCCAGGAACTCTTCTGGGACCACATGGATGAGAGTTCTTGCATCTTCTGTGAGCCTTCACCCCAAGGCAGCCATTAGCTGCTTTGGGGGAGGAGTATAAGGAGGCGAGAGGCCCATCTCCTCAGCTCTGGCTGGATCTTAGTGTCTTAACTGAGCTGTTTACATCTTAAAAAACCTGATTGTACAAGTGACCCCCTTTCTGACAGGCTCAGTGCAGGGTGTGGCTCCTCTCGTAATCCAAAAGTCTGATCCCACCAATTTATCCCTGGTCATTTCACACTGAATATAGAATAGGACACAGGATTATAGACTCACAAAGTCAAAGATGAAAAGAACTTCGGAGGTTATCAGGTCTTTATTTAATAGTTGGGGAAACTGAGGCCCAGAGATACAAAGTGACTTGCCCAATGTCGTCAGTAGGATTTGAGCCCAAGCGCTCAAACTCCAAGTTCAGTGCTTGTTGTGTTGCACCAGGCTTCCTCCTCAAATAAACCTGCCTGCAGCCTTCAGAGGGAGGTGCAATGAAAGGCCCCCCGAAAAGCTCATCTCCTTGTAAATTCATCAGGTTGAACTGACAACTCCCCCATAAGCCTCCTAAAGCTAAAATGGATTTAAAGCTCTTTGTAAATCAAAGACCACCAAACAAACCTGAGTTATTCAATCATTATTGCTCATTTTTTCCTACTTCTCTTATTCTACTTCTCTTTCTATTTCTCATCTTCCCATCCCTTAAATATGGACATCTCCCTAGGCTTTGCCATCAGCCTCTACTCTGGTTTTGTCATATTCACCACCTTAAGTTTATCTGTTCTTATATAGCGGCATCATGGAAAGGGCTTGGACTTGAAATCAGGAGAGTCTCGGGTTTGGATCAATAATAATAACAGCTAGCATTTATACTGTACTTCAAAGTCTGCAAGACATTTTATGTGCGTTATATTATGTGATCATGCTATTACTATCCCCTTTTCACAGATAAGCAACCTAAGGCTGACAGGAGTTATGTGATGTGTCCCAGGTCACACAACTAGTTAAGTGTTTGAAGCAAGATTCAAACTTGGGTCTTCCTAACTCGAAGGCTAGCAGTCTTTTCCCTATGCTACTTACCTGTCTCTGTTCCAGCTTTGGTATTTATGAGCTGGGTGATTCTGGGTAAGCCACTTAACTTATGTGAACTTCATTCAAGATGGGTTACCCCATCTTTAAAACAGGGATAAATACATTGGATTATCACTCTCATGGGAATGCCATGAATGTTCTGAGAGCCTTAAAGCATATGTGGTCATTTTTACTTACTTCCCACCCTTATAGTGAAGGCTCCCACATTGATACCTGCAGTTCTAAATACTCATCCCTGTTCAAGTTCTACACTTCTATCTGCCTTTAGGAAATGGATTTTTAACCTAAGTTCTGTAAACTTTTTTCCCCCAATATTTTGATAACTGAATTTCAACATAATTGGTTTCCTTGGTAATCCTACATATTTTATTTTATTCATATACAAGCATGATTCTAAGACTGCATTCGTAGGGTTCCCCAGACTGCTCAAGGGGTACATGACACAAAAAATGATTGAGAATCCCTAATTTAATGACTTCACTATCATGTGAAACTCAACATGTCAAAATCCAGACTCATCACCTTGGCTTCCACAAACTAAATTCTGTTCTGAAAAACCATCCTTCTTTCAGTTTCCTCAGTGAGAAACTATGAGATCATTTTTGATTTTCCTTGGGAACCCCATCCAAGCATATGGGATGGAACAGAGACTAGGTAGCCATTACGTATCTGTAGTAAACCAGGCTG